AAAAGGTCTTACATTGATTACGTAACTAAAGATATGATAATATCAAGAGAACATAAAAATATGTCTTTAAGACATTTTTATGTGATATCAACTAATTCATATGGTACAAGCATAATTTTCGAACCATTACTCATGTATGACTTGTGACCTAAATTACAATGCTCTAAAGGTGTACTTCGATTGTGCCTAGATGACCCTAGGCACGGGGATTCAAGAAAACACCCTGCCTAGGGATTAGGTGAGAAAAAAGATGATCAACTCTAGCTCACCTAGATGAAGAATATCATGCATATTTTTGTGGATCTCGTAGATTGATCTTTCTACATCATCAGTGCCCAATACAAAGGAGATAGAACACAACCCAAATCGGTAAAGATAATGAGTTGATAGCTAGAGATGTACATGGGAGCTAAGAATGTGAAAATGATGGTATTCATCATGCTTAGCGCGCAAAAAAAAAAAAAAAAAAAAAAAAAAAGGAGGAAAGAAACGCACGCCATGAAGAACTAGATGTAAATGATGTCCACCATAATCAAGCTAACATGAAATGAGAATCTAAACCTTATATTTCTCGAAGTAGTGTTGGAGGCACCGATAAGGGCCAGTTGTGGCCATGTCTCTAGTGGGCGATGATGGGGATTTACCGAGAGGAGCAAGTTGTCTTTATTAATATAAGTCGTCTTCTTCTTCTTTTCTTATTATCATCATCATCATCATCATCATTATATATATATATTTGTATTAAAATTTAAAACCTGCCTTTCTAGTTTTCTTTTCTTTGTTATATTTATTAGCCGTTAATTTTGGAAAGGTTATTTTATATTTTCAATTTTTTATCAGGCATTGTATCAGTTTCTTTCGTGCTAATATGTATCAAATCTTTTCTAATTATAAGAATTAATTACTAAGTAACTACAGTATTTTTGATTTTGAGAATTAATTTTTTTGTTAGAAAATTTAATAGTATGTATGAAGTTCCTATAATTTTTCAACGTATACTTTGTTTTAATTATTTATTGGTTTAAAATATATAAAATAATACTATATATAAAAAATATCTTCTTACTTCTAGACTCATAAGTTTTGATATTCGAAACTTTAGATTGAATCTTAGAACATTGTCATGCCTCAAATTTTTTAGATTATTATCTAATTTGTACGAAAGAGCTTAGATTTTTATAAGAAAAAAATATGGTTATTTCACTTACCAAGTGTTTCATTCATTCTCCAATCATTTAAATGTTAAATCAAAAGGAAATTCACTTGTCAATTTTGTGGTCCTTGGGCACTCATCATCATCTTCTATGTATCCATCAATTATTTCTTGCTCTTTTTCTTTCACTTAAAAGTTTTGATTCACTACTTTTTATCCCAAGTATCAAAACTTTGGACCAAAAAATTTGGATACTATTAAAATTCTTAGTTAAAAATGAGGAAATTGTACATAATTTTCTCATTCTGTATAAAAGTAGTACTTCATTTCCTGTTAATTTTTCATAAATTATTTATACACAACCTTTTATCAAATGAGAATTCTATCTAAAAGAGTAAAGTATATCACGTGTTTAAAAAGAGGAATAGGATGCTCGATGTTTTATTCTATCAATGATTTCTTGAAACATGCAATTTGGAAAATTGATGTGACTCATTAAAGTTAATTAGCAAATAAATGCAAAATCAATTGTATGTTTAACTTTTAGCAAGCCCAGCATGTTATGTGTCTCAAAGAACGTTAACATAATATTTGACATGGTTTATAGACATGATGTTTGAAAGTAGTGATGAGAGAGGTGGGGTCAGTGGGGTTCCTAATCATACTGAGATTTGGTTAAGGCCCTGATCGAGCCCAATTAATTTGAAGAAATGTATTATGGAATAGTGATTGATGAAGATTGTATGGTTAAAAGAAGGGAAAAAATTTTATTTGCGTGTAATATCATTTTAATGAAAATTTTGTGATTAAAAATGAATACTGTAAAAAAATAATGAGAAAGAATGTAAAGTAAAGAATGAAAAAAAGGGNAGCTCAAATTTCATTTTCAATGAATTGTGTCTAAAGAAAAATAATAATAAACATAAGCTTATGTTTGGTTAATGTTAATTATACTATGTTTTATAGACGGTGAAACCAATTTTTATCCATCCATTTCGTAGAATTTACAAGTACTACCTATCTATCCAATTTTATCTATTTATAATTTAAATTATTTATAAACACTTCCTAAACAAAGCTTACAAGACAAAGAATGAGAAAAATATTAAATTTTGTTGACTTACTTCCTCTAAAAGAACAAATGTGCTCTAGGTACACTATTTTTTGACAGCTTTCTTGACAGTCTTCTAACATGCAGGAGTGGAGCCCATGATTAAAATAATCGCGGACCTTATCATTTGTGGCACTTGGTGCTCTACATATATCATTTTCCTTAAAAGAGAATCTATATCTAGACAAATCTTTTCACAATGTTTACTTTTTTTCTTGTCACGCCGCTGAGATAATCCTAAAACTCGTGGTGGAGGAAAAGCTTTTTAGATGTTGCCTTTTTATTTTAGCTTCTTCTTTTTTCTTTTTTTTTTTAATGCAATTCACATTAGAATCGGATATACACATTTTCAAGAGACTCTTTAAATATAAAACAATTAACCACTACTTTAGATAGTCAATTTTTTAAATTAGTCTTTGGTAGATACTTTGTTAAAAAGTCAAACCCACCATTTATTTTTACTTTAAAATATATAACAAATTTCAATAATTCACTCCTTGAATTATTAAAATCATATTTAATTTTATCTGCAATTGATATACTTATTAAGCGTGACTTAAAATAATAAATGCTTTTGAAAAAAACTAAATAAAAAGTTATAAATAAATAATTTGTTGAAGTATGTTAAAAATATTGATCTTTAAGTTTCTCTGTCATGTAAAATATGCTCTTCAAAATTAAAGACCTTGGAGATGCTTTAATTGACCTCTAAAATGAAATTTCAAGTCTTAATGCTAATACCTTGATTAATTATATACGAACTGGTTACAAATATTAGATAGAAAAATTATTGCAATCAATTAAATTAATACCTTCCACTTTTGCAACTTCGCCTCTAAAATTTGTTACAAAAAAATAAATAAATAAATAAATAAAATAAAAAAATTGGATGGCAGGGATAAGGAAAAATTGGTGGTGCCCAGATTAGAGACGTAACGATAAAATTCAGAAATATTTTTGAAATATTAAAGGTGCAAGAAAATTCTTTAAATTGTTAAGTTGAATCGTAGGCATATAAAACTTTTTTCATCATATTTAGAATCTTAATAAAAAAATGATGTGTGATTTGAAGAAAATCTATAGTGAATTTAGAATTGTGAAAGATAATCCTCCAATAACCAAAGACATTTAATAACTTAAATTTTCAAATTTAGATCATTTTTGTTAGAATAATAGTGTGTACCTAGATTCGTGATGGTCACGAGTCTACGCAACAATTAAACGTTATTAGGTTATATGTCGTCTTAAATGTAAATATATGAGTTCCGTTTTGTTATATTGAAGCATTTTCAATGCATTCTGAGAATGACAATTCATGGCATCTAAATAGAAAGGCTTTATATACATGACAATAATGCTTAATGAATAAACGACCTAGTTCATATTTTATTTTTAACGGGTTCAGTCGATAATTCAAATTCCATTTTCATTGTGCATTTAATGGGAGAGAAAAATTAATAAGCATGAAAGAGGAAAAAGAAAATTTATAATAAGAATCTCTACATCTAGATAGTCTTCTTAACAATATCTACATTTTTCTTTCTCATGTTGCTCGATAGAGTTCTATGTTGCATCAGAGATGAACTTTTGATGACATTATCTGTATTTATATGGTAAACTTTTAGTGCAATTCCCAAAGATGCTTTTAATTTTTGTCTATAGATTTTTTGAGTGGAAAGCTCTTTCAGAATCAGCGAGCCTGATATTGGAGCCTTAAAAACACAAATATTTTATACAAAATAATAATAATAGTGAAAGAGAACTCGAGATTATCTGTTACCAAATTAAGATTTTTTTTTTTTTTTTAAAGAAAAATAATTGAATCAAGCTGAATTTTCATTTAGCAAATGCTGTATTTAAAGAATATGAACCAAGCATAGGCTTAAATTGAAAAACAACCCAAATTGCTCCTAAATTATTGCTTACTAATGAAGTAAGTAGAGGTGCATAGAGACACCTAAAACGTTTTGAAAAAATTGCAATCATAACCATCAACTTTGAGGATAATTTGGACTTGGCATTCAATTATTTTGGAATAATTGAGCCTTTCACATTTCATTTTCATGAGAAAGAGGTCTCTTGGATTGTGTTAGTCCAAAAGAGGCATTTAATTGAATGATAAGACATAAAAAAAAAAAAAACAAAAACAAAAAAAGAGATGGAAGAACATCACCTTACCCCAGCTCCCTCCACCAACCATGGTTAGCCCCCTAATTGATCTTGAAAGATTAAGAAATTCCATGTAACAAATGAAGTGTTCCACTTTTGGAGGCAACATGATTCGTCTACGAGTATGGCTAAAAGATGATTAATAAGGAATCGCTAAAAATCATCAAATTTTTTTCACTTCAAAGAAACTCTCAAACTCCGATAAAATCCTTTACAGCTTTTTCAAAACCTCCACTTGAAATCACAAATGCTTGTATCACTTAATCGAGCTGCCAAAGCAACACTCAAAGAAATCAACTATACAAAATCCCTATTTGCTCCAATCACTAGCGAACAACGCAATATTGTGGAAATGTGGAGTATAGATGCTCCCTCTGCATTTTAGTGTATGATAAATATATCTTCTTTATTCAAAGTTCATACAATAACCTATCAATCAAATAAATAAATGCACTGAAAAAAGACAAAACAATTTATAACTTGTTAAATAGACAAATCAAAAGACAAAAACGATACTAAAAAATAAATAAAATAAATAAATCTCACTTGTCACCAAGTCACTTGTGCTCAATTTAAAAGTCTTATCCCTTATAATTAATTAAGCAACTCTCCTTTCCTATCTTAGAAGGAGAATGAATTCAAGCATGGCTATTCCATAACAAGGAAAGCAAATAAGAAGAAATTACTTTTTTTATATGTTCAATTAAACAAACCATACATAATCACTTACAACATTTATCACACATCCCTCTTATTTAATCCCATGAATCGCGACCAATCAATATTAACTTTCATTTTTTTCTTCTCCAAGATCACATCATTTGCATCATATTTGAGCAATAGATTGTTATTTGATAGTTAAATTTTTGAACCAGAAGCAGGGGGTCGTTGGAATTGCTGATACAATGCTGCCATCCTGCTATAAGCTTCCATGCTCATTGGCTGCAGCCATTGCAAATCAAAAATAGAATTCTGTGAATTGATAAAGCTGATTATTTTAGCACTGGCCAGATGGACACCAGTGCCACATAGACAAGTACTCACCACTAAAGCCAAGTGATTTAAGATTAATACAATTCATAGTCAGCGATTGCAGTAGCCATCCTTACATGTTAGCTTGTAATTTAAGATGCTAGCTTGTTATTTGAGGCAATTGAAATGCAAGTTATATATGCCTCAAATAATTAGTTGTCGTATAGGATGATTACTGTATTTGCTGACTATGAATAATACTGTTCGAAATTTAACGCTACAAGTGCTATCACCTACACTGACTAGAAAACTGATTGGCTATGTAAAATTCACCTGTGACTGGCAAGCAAGGAATGCAGATAGGGGGTCTGTAGGCATCACAGAAGCTGGAGTTGGCAAACGATCCCCTTGATTAATATCCCATGAGGCAATGGGCGGCATAAAGGTTGGTGCTGTCCCTGGATGAAGGAAGGGGAGAATTGCGGCACGACCAATTGTGTTTAAATCCATTAGTCCAGTTCCCATCCCGGTCATGGGCGCCATTCCTATTCCAACCATGGGATTCATCATCGATGACATTTGAAGCTGTTGTTGCATAGCCAACGGCATCATCAGAGATGACATGTTATTCATTCTATTGATCATCTGAACTTGTGCTTGCAGCTGTTTGAGATACTCTATTACTTCATCCAGCATTGAGGCTTTATCAGTCTGCAACATTAGAGTATGTGAACGTGAATCTATCGAAGGTAATTATAAGATCAATAAGGTTGTGGGGTTCTTCTTGTCTCTTCTTTTAAGGACAATTGGAACGACAAATGAATGAATCTATTAATTAGCAATGCCAACGTACATGCAAGCAAAATATTAAACTCAAATTATATGTAAAAGTAGTATTACACCACAAGCTATAGGACTAGAATCTACAAAAAGTGAAGCCAGAAATGACACGCTGGCATAATCCGTGTCCGATAAACTACTTTCGAAAAAAATTTTAAAGACATACTCCCTCAATCTCATTTATATAGGTTTCATTTTCCTATTTTTTTGTTTCAATTATATAGTTTTGTTTTTTTATTGAGATTGTTTTGTTTTGTTCATTTACTAATATAAATTTATTTAATTTGCTAATTATAATCAGTTTTTTCACTTAATCTTGAAATTGTACAAATATAAATAAGGGTAAATAAGAAATTTTTTTGACAAAAAATACTTTTTCAATAATATTAAATAAGATTTTTTAATTCATATAAAAAATAAAAACGGAAAATTCTAAATGTATAGTACTTAGTGTTGTACATTTTTATAGCCCCTCACATTAGGGGGCCCAAGGCTAATAGTGGAGTCCCGTTATGCAAAGAGGCTTGTGTAAGCAAACACGACCCAATAAAAACAACATATATATAAGAGCCGTGTTACTTGCATAGTTCGACACACAGCACAGCTTGCAGCCCCCTCATATCTCGGGGGGCCTCCATAGCACAGGGAGGGGCTATACAAAAAGCTTCTTATATATAAGTGGAATGGAGGTAATAAATAATAAAAAGTCAAAATATAGGTCCGGGTCTAAAGAGTCAGGTCCGACACAACCTGTCCCGCCACGTCAAATCAAATTGTTGTACCGAACCACTATTACACCTTTCATGTGAATTTCCATACCATATTTAGGGAGTAAATACTTACAAAAATCCACATCAATGATTGAATGCAGACAGATAATAAGAGTCCCTACGTGGACTATCTTTATGCGGTAATAGATGATTGTGTATACAACTAATAAAGGTTAACCCCAACTTTAAGGTTCCCCCACTGTTCTTGTCCTGGAGTATCGTGAAAAAGGTAAATCGCAGGTTATGCCTCCAAGGGTACAGGGTGGAAGGCTGCTTATACACTTGCACTTACCCAAGAGTCAAATCCATATTTCAGGATTCGAACCCTTGACGCAGCAACCTCAAGCAAAGCTGGATTTCTCCATCCTCCCCTTTTACCACTTGAAAATATGCCCGGAGGGCGTATACAACTAACAAACTCTTATGTCTACATGTCTATATAGCAAAATTGTATGTATTTGGACCACTTTAACAAACATTAAAATTATCCTGTCTAGTTCGATTAATTAAAGCCCTCAACTCTGTTTGGTTAAAAAAAGTCAAGAAATCATCTTTACACTTATTTTTGGACCACTTTACACATCACTGACTATCCTATCTACTTTGATAATTAAAGCCCTCAACTTTGTTTGGTTAAAACAAAGTCAAGAAATCATCTTTCCACTTATTTTTGGACCACTTTACACATCATTAACTATCCTATCTATTTTGATTATTAAAGCCCTCAACTTTTTTTGGTTTAAAAAAAGTCAAAAAATCATCTTTACACTTATATTTGGACCACTTTTGAGGGAAGTATAAACGTTTTCGTAAAATTTTTATCAACTTTTTAACTTTTCGAACAATTTTTCAACAGAAGAAAAAGAAGTTAATCTATCCATACCTTGCTGGAATTTGGGACCAACTTCTGCAATGTCTTCATCTTCTGATTAATCTTGTCTCTTCTTTTCTGCAACAAATCATTATTGCATGTCTAGTTATAGACATTTTATTAATGGTATATGCATTTTTTTAGATTTTTCCTTTATTTCCGCCTAAAGCAGAAATTAAGATTTTTTTTTTTTTGTGGCAACATAAAGCTTACTCGACCAAAATTTTCCCAACCAATCATAAAATAGCTGGTGAAAATCTTGTTTATGACAAGTAAAAATAATAGCTTTGCCGGCCAGGTAATGCCCTTGTTTGAGCCCCATTTTGATGGGGAAAATGAATTTTTGAATAGTGTATTGATATGAAATGTGTGGTTAAAAAATATAATAATATTATTTGCAGTCGCTTACTACAGTAGTCGTCCTACGTGGCATACACATGATAGATGATTATTTGATGCATTAATGAATAAAAAACTACCACATTAATGTATCAAATAATCATCTATCATGTGTATGCCATGTAGGGCGACTGTCACAGTGAGCGACTACGAATAGCATTACTCTAAAAAATAAGGAAAAATTTTGAATTTACATGTAATATTATTTTATTGAAAAATGTGTGATTGAAATTATGTCAAAACACTATTGAAGAATTCATTTTCTCCAAAAAAATGGGATCAAACAAGGGCAATATATGCATATCGACAAGGGAAATGAAGTGAGGCTATACACGTTCAGACTGGTTATGAATAGCAGCAGCTCTACTCCTTTTCGTTGAAATTGAGGATTTTCTTGTTCCTTTCTTCTTATCCTCCCCATTGCTAGTCTCCCTCTGCAATATTATCAAATAACACACAAAAATAATAAAACATTAGTTAGTCAAAAGTAGAAATCTTTTCTCTTCATGTGTAGGTTAGTTATGTTTCTTTGTTGGAATACAAAGTTTTGTAATTAATTGGCAACGTGAGTAACACCACCATGACCAATGGCAAAGCCAGAATCCGACGAGCCATGGCGGCCGCCAGTCCTGGCTCCACCAGAATTTTTTTTCCATATACTGGAGAGTTGCTTGAGTGGCCGTCAAGCGTTCACACTAGTTCAGATGGATCCGCCCTAACCCAAATGAATTTTTGAATTAGCCATTGAACATGACTATGCATCTTGTTCATAAACTAAAAATAATGGAAATAATGGAGCTCAAAAGAAGGGCTAAATGGTTTAGCCCAGCCGCCCAGACCTACGTCTTCCTCCACCATAAATTAGAAATGCAAGAAAAGTAAATAAACAAACTTGCCTCCGATCTACTGTGACAAACAGAGTCGTAGTCCTCGCCGGTCTTGGCCCAATCTTTGGCGGAGCTGATGTTTTCCGGCGAACCCAATTCTAGGTCGCACGTGTCAATTGTCACTTGTCGGCTGTCTCTCCCGCTCAGACTCAAACTCTGATCCGCTTTGCTACTCCAGTCACGTGCGCTCTCCCTAACCACACGTGCCAACACAGCAGGGTTGGCGCCACTGCAGGACCCCACAGGAGTGGAACATCCCTCCACGCGCTTCCCATTGGGTTCCAGCGGGTGCGCGGAGGGTTCTTGGCTGCTGATATTGGTGCATGGCACCAAAGCATCCATAGTCATGGTGGCGGGGGCAGGGGCAGAGGCAGAGGCTTCAGGGTTGACCCTATTGCAGTGGTGATCAAACCAAGGTGCCAGCTCATCTCTGCCACCGTTCAAGGCGGCTTTTCCGTCTGTAAGGTGGCGCGTAGCTTGGTCAACTATTGATTCGAGCGTCCCACCGGCTTGTAGCTTATCCCACGTGTATTTAGTCGGACCGGCCGATGCAGCCACCGGTTTGTTCGGCACCCGAGGAGGGCCTAATCCATGCATGGCTAGCTGCCCATTTTCCCATGTCAGCTCTGCAACTTCATAATCCAACCTTCAGAAGTATAACAACATGAAAGAAGACAGATTAGAATGATTATTTTTGAAATATTCAGTATATTGTACTCGACTCCACTAAACAGTATAATACGAACCTTTGAGGGGTGGGATTCTCATCAAGATCCCAGCTAGGTACACACTGATTCATCGTAAGAGAAGTTAATTGTGAGGAATATAGCACAATTTACGTAATTACACTTCCTAAGAGCAAATCTTGTTTATTCTTGGAGAAGGGGAAGCAAAAAAAATGCTGTAAATCAAACAACTAAAATCATTTTCAATTCTTTAAAGATTTTGGTTTGTGAGTTTGAAATTTTGAAGATTGAATGAAAAAGAATCTTGGTGCATATTTATTATTCGTCAAGATGAGGACAAATATAATTTGAGAGAGAATGAATGGTCCATGATTAGAAAGAGAGGGAGATTCTTATTGTGAGAAAGATAGAAATTGGGTATCCATGAAAAGGAGATAGAAGTTGTGGGCTGAGGTGCGTTCCACATGCTATCCACGCATTTCAATCATGACTCAATGAGACACATTACTGGACAAATAGAGTTTATGGTGGAAGGACCGAGTTGGAGACTTAAAATGATAACAAGCCTTCTGTTTTGAAAGTTTGAAACCAATGTATAAAAATCGTATTTTCAATAGATTTTGATAGAAGTTGATAGAACGTAGATTGAAAAGTTATAGATCCCATGAAAAATGTGATAAAGATTCATTTTTTATTTAATTTAAATTTTAATAAATATTTTTAGGTGAACCAAATAGGGGTTAAGCCTGCATTTCATTTGTATCTTTCCATTGGAGAGATTTTTGACCACTTTGAATATTTTTATAACGGTTTGTATCTAATTTAGAGCACCATTGGATGCTCTTATATCCGTTCTCTTCTATGCAATGGGAGGCTCCACCCTCCATTTCCACTTTTCTTTGGCCTAACACTCAAAAAGTTCCCGAGCAAATAAAAAAGAAGGGGAGGAGACATGCTTGAGATGGGAGGGACAATGAGAACGACGAAGAGATGGGAAGGGGGAGGGGACAATATGTGTGATAGAGAGGGTAGGATCAGAGACGGATTTAGGGGGCGTTGGGCTGGGCTGTAGTCCCTCTCCCCAACTCAGGTCCAAAGGTATTTTTCATTTTTTTTTAAAAAAAAACCCCCATTTTATTATGTGTAAAAAAAAATTCCCGCATAGCAACCCGATTTAAAATTTTGTAGCCCAATCTTGAATCCAATTCTGGATTCGTCCCTAGGTAGAATGGAAATCACGAAGAAAATGTGACCATCCACAACACGTCGTTTAATAAATACCAAATAAATATCTGCATTGAACGTTTTTAATCTTTATCCATTGGCACTTTTATGTCATAATCTTTTCCAATCATATTCTCCATTAATTTTTCATTAATTAACAAATCCTGTCTTTAATGATGATTTTCACTTAGAAATTGTGTTAAAGTGCTGTCAAATGTGGTACAAATATTTAGTTACTATTTTCATTTGTTTATTAAAAATATGCAGGGAAAATAAGTATTTTTACTCAGTCTTATGGAACTTTTGAACAGATATCGTTATCACAAACAAAATGTGCTAATTAATAAAACATTGAAAAAAAAATGCAATGAAGGAAGTTGGGGACATAAGTATGACAATGGGTAAAAGTTACACCCATTTTATGTATTTAAAATGTGGTGCAATTATGAGAAAATGTGTTGCGAATACATTTAGCCAAATGTGAATGAAGAGACTTATTTCAAACGTCGTTAAATTCTCACCACAAGTAAATTGTACTAAAGTCTTCGATCTTTGCTATTATAGCACTTAGTCCTCTATTTTATGGAAAAATTCTTTTTATTCAATCTTTCATTAATTAGCACATCTAGTTTTTTATCATGGTTTTTGTCCAAATAGATTTTTAGTGTGCTTTGAAATGTTGGCAAACATTATGTCAAACCATTTATTTTTTATTTACTTATTTAAATATGTGATAGGCAAATAATTCATTTACGTCATTCTAAAGAACTTTTTGGATGGAAACTATCATCGGGCTAAGATCCACTAACCATTGAAATAACAAAAAAATTGAGTACACGAGTGCGTTAATTAACAAAGATTGAAGATCTTTATTGCAATTAAAAATGAGAGAAAACAAAAGAAAAGTGTGATGACAATATAACCACCAACACTTTTCAATACAGTGTAAAAGATATTTAAAGTTTAATAAAAAAAAATATTTTTAGACAAAAAAACAATTAAATGTAGGGTTTTTTTTTTTTTTT